TGGTAGGTAAATAGCATTCAGTACTCAGTGGTTTGAATGAAGCATTAACTAAGTACGAATAATTATTTCTTATTTAAGATGCTGTTATATCCCAAACTGCCATCAGACATAATTAAATGTTTTTATTAAGGAGGAGATGATACTGAAAAGATCTAATTTACAAACACTGAGCAGTGCCTGACCACTGGCTGCTAGTTTTACCTTTAGACCTCTGTGTGTGGGCAGCTTGGGGTCAAAAGGACATCAGTACATATAAAAACATACGTGCACACACACACACACACACACACACACTATATCTCTTTTTTTCAATTTACACAAAGTTCAGCTCTGTTCAGTAATTGGTGGAAAGGGTTAGGGGACTGAGTGGGACAAAAATGAAGATGGATTTAAAATAGTTCAAATCTGACAAGTGAAAGCTGTGCCGTTGTTTGTGAATGCTTACACAAGTTCATTACTGTTTAATTGGATGTTACCAGGCACCACTGCAGGGAGCAGACACTTTATCAAAACACGACAGTCCAGTGCTTACAATCAGCTCCCTTCCCCTCACAAGCCACAATCTGACACCCAAGCGTTTAATATCTTGGTCGGGGAAGCTCGTCAGATTGATCGTATGATCAAAATAAAAACAAGATCATATCTGGTTCTTTTGTACTGGAGTGGCCCTAAAATTTGTATTAATCCAATTATGTTTTAGGCAGATGTAAAATTTGCATCACAATTAAAATAACAATTCTGACTCATCAGCTTTTTTCCCATGGTGAACTTCTTTCCTGATTATGCCAGTGTGCTCTAAGACGATAATAGCCGTGTTAATAAAGCAAGTGTGGACACCCAGTGACTTGAGAAGAATGACTATAATGTAATGTTACCCATAAGTCAAGGCCTTCGGCATTCAATCACCATATAACCCCAGTCAAGCATTTTTGATAGGGCACCTGAGAAGACAGACCCTTTAAAATCATTATTATAATGACCACTAGCAGGATCTTCCCCCTAGGAAGTAACCAGGCCGAGGCAAGAAGACACACCCTAAGTCTGCAGAGCCGATGTCACTGAAAGGTTTCACTGTGCTTGAATTTTCACAACATGTGCACAGCAGGGCTGCATGGCCGAATACAGACATTCTGTTTATTAGGCAGGTATTGAGTATGAACGACCATATGAGGTAAGCATAAGACATTATAGTGATAACCCTAACCCTGTTGAGCTCTCTTGGAGAAAGTCAAAACAGACTGTTTTCTTTCTTTTAGGACAAAAAAAAAGTTAATAAATAGTTTTGACCATTAATTAGTTTAATTCACATTCTTAAGCTGTAGCCATTTATTAATAATCCAGTCAAATAATAAAAGACTGGATGGATTGCACCATCCTAAGTTACATTATGAAGGCTATTGCTGCTACTTTCCTAAGAAATTTAGTGCTGTAGGTTGCAGCCACTTACAAATCTAACTACACTTTTTTGTGGTTTGAGTCATCACTTCGCATCGCTAGGCATGTGTATAAAAGGTCTCAGATATGTTTTTCTTAATATTTTGGATCCAACTGCTCCTTTTGACAGTCTGGCCGGCATTTTCCAGAGCACCTTTTTCACCGAGGTTCAGTGGTTATAGCCTGATACTGCCACTGCCTGCGTTAGCCATTTTATATCCACTGGGACCTGCCATACTAAAAATGTATGTGTCCCAGTAATGTGAGGCTCTTAGGATATAAAAGCATTCGGTGAATTGCATTCGACATCAGAGGGGAGATGGAACAGCTGGACAATGAATAAATGCTGACTATTCAACAGAAAGGACAGTGAATGCACCATCTCTTTTTACTGTAGTGTCCTGAGACAGTAATGTCGTACCGCAGGAGCTCGCCATAGGAAGGCTGTCACATTGAATCAAACCGAACGCGTTGACATCTCCCAATGCACACATTTTTGCATGCCTCATTCATCTCTCCACCTACATCGCTGAACCGCTCTTTAGTTGACTTGACTATTTTCTTACTTCCAGTCCTTCTTTACCACCTTATAGGTGAGCTTGCAAGCATAACACGATGATACAATGCCTGTCTCTAAATATGAATATGCATCACCACTAATCAACCTTAAGCCTTGCAGCCATACTGTATACTTTTAAAACAATAACAATAAGATGATCTGGACACTGCTCAACAATAATAACTATACATCTACTTTCCACAAGGTTAATTGTTATTGATAAAAACAGTAAAGCAGAATCCCATTAACAAAATAGCATAATGTCAGTTATCTATGTTTCCAGATGCCTTGCACATAATGCCTCTCTTTGTAATTTGCTATACTTCTAATTTGTCATGGTCCTTTAAATCACCTTTTTTAACTCCAGATGAAAAGGCCAAGGAAAAAAGGGGCATCCATCCTATCAAGGCTATTCCTTTCTGCCAATCTCTTGGTTCCTTGGTGGCAATTTATATCACCGCATGGAGCTGGGATATAATTATAGTCTATTGTCTGATATTTCACCTGCATTACATGCTATTGCAACGGTTCAGGAACCATGCTGAGTCCGAGAGAAAGCCATTCCACGCGGATCAATATTTATGATTGTATTATTTGTCAGCAACTGCGGACCCTTGCACAAACTATTATGCCGGTCTCAGGTCAGAGAGAGTTAGGTGACAAGAGGTAATGTATAATCTTTACTGTGCTAAGTCGAAGGTAAGGTGCATGTTATCTGTAGGAGTCTGTCATTTCATAAAATGAGCAGTGGGTTTAGTAGTCTGCTAACGTTACAGAACAGCGTGATATTTTAATTTGCTGTTTGATTAAATATAGCTGATATTTCGCAGTAAAGAGCTTAATTTTGCTTTCACAGATGCATCAACGTTAAAGGTTAAAGGCGTTTTCACACTAATTTTTAGATGAAGACAACAATAGGCCTAATGTGAAAACTAATTAAATGGGTTTCTTTTTAACAATGAAAGTCATCACTGTTACACTGTGAAGGCACTCAGACGTTTTCTTTTAAAATAGACTGAGGCATGCGTCTATTAACTGTTGTCTCAGTGAAACTGTGAAGACAGACAAGTTATACAAAGAGGAATTAAAATCAAATCATTTGTGTGAAGATTTTTCAGTGAAGTTAAATCCACCACTCCTCGGGATGCTATGATCTCCCTGTACCCAACGCGACTAATCCAAAAATTATTTTAAAATATATTTGTAACAGCTCTGATCTAAGGGATGTTTTAGCTTACAGCAGCTATGCATGCTTTTAATACATCTGACCCTCAAATTATTTGAAATTTTGACAATCACTTTAACTTTGCATGCATTCAGTTCATGTTCCACCCAACCCCCCTTTTCTTTTTTTGCTGTGAGCGTTTAATATAATGTAAAATGCCCAATTAATTTTGAAAACTATCACAGAGTAGCTTTGGCTCAGTTTAAGCACATTTCTCCAATTAGTGAGGTGAGGCTGGCTTTTGATTGTTTATACAACTTGAAACCGTCCCCTGGGTCACGCTGCTTCTAGTTTAGTTTTGTACCAACAAAACATGAAAGCATTTCCAACATTCCAGTCTTGTTTATGCTGTGAAAATGAAATACAGCCACTGCAACTCTTCCTTTTAATGACCTATATGAGAATATATAGTAACATGTATTGTCAATTAAGCAGGTCTTCCAGAATCACTGACATGGCTTTTAAATTCAGTCCAATTTAAAGGAGAAGACTTAAATTCCCAATTTACATTTTTAAAACATCTATAACACATGAGCAAAACTGGGCCCGTGGGACAGAATCCACCAGTTAGGGGCAGAGAGCTTTGCAAAACAGACACACCCACACTTTGTTGCTTACATTAGGAAAATATACAGTACATAATTTGTGACAATAAATAGAGCAAATAGCTGTCTCTTAACTGTATATCATTCAATCCTAGACTGTGTCCATCTTAGGTTTTTTCATGTTAGTCCGTGTTTTGTTTTGCAGCTTGTGCATAATACTAATAATAGGATAAGACTTCTTGGGGATCCCCACAACATCAATCTGCTCAGCTTACAGCTAGGAAAACACAAGATGAAAAGGGCCACAGCTAGCCAACTGAAATTTCAAATTAAGAGTGAATGGATTGCCCTTTGATAAAATAATTACACAGTCGCACCAATCATTCACAAAATATACTTGGCAAGGTTGTAGAAAAAATACGAGTACTACACAACTAAGGTATAGTAAATATTATCCCAATTTGTTTATTTTATTTGGGTATACAGATCTGTACTCTAACTCAAGTATAAGCTAATGCACAAAGAATGCAGCGGTCATAAGAAAACACAAAACTATGTGAGTGAATTAAAATTCATAAATATGATGTGCATACTTGATGATGTGGATAGTGAGTGAAACAATGGTAAAAGTATTCTAAAAGGCATGACAGTTCATTTTTCAAGTGTTTTTCATTTCCAATTCATGGCCGCTGATGTATTGTGAGGCGTTTAAAATGCAATGTCTTCTGTTTTTGGCAGAGACTATGCAAGAATGGTCTGATCACCACTCCATTGGATAGGACACATATTTCGCGTTGCATTGTTTAGTCCCACATTGTGACATCTGAGAAGTAATATGCTCCAGCAGATGCTGCACCACTCATGCAGGACCGATAAAGATGATGGAGGACCTCGATGATGGTTATCACTGTAACACAGACACACCTCATGGGGCCATATCTGATTGCAAACAGGAGCAATGCTCAACAGTGTGTTGCAGCTCCCAATTGTGAAACAATGTGCTTATTTTCCCTCAGTTTTTAGGGCGGAGGCCTCAAGGAGAAAAAAAGGCATGACGGGCGGAATAAAACGGAGCATTCTTCACGTGGCTGTCACGATGAAACGTACTATATTAATCCAGGATGCGCTTATCTTGCTATGCATTACTTTGCATTGAGAGCATTACAATAAGGATCAAACAGAGTATAGACATGGAAAAGAAGAGACTTGAAAAAGAATTATTTAAAAGAGATCTTACTTGCTGAGGCTCTCGTGGTGTTGTCAGCTTTACTCTCCTGCTGGACGCTGTGGTGGTGGTGATCTCCATGATGGATGTGGATGTCTCTGAGCGATTGGCTGTGGTACTTGACTGTGGGGTGATAGAGGAGGGTGACTCCCCCACAAGCCGCACACTGCCTTGGATCCTTATATTGGGATCCCCCTCTGCGGCCATGTTGAAGACCTTCAAGCCATTATAGTAGAGGCCTGAAAGCTGGCCCTGAAAGGATCGACTGCGATCTCGCTCCCAGCCCCCAATCTGTATAGTGGTTTGGCTGTTGAAGATTGTAAGCTGTCGCCCTGCGGGAAAACAATGTTACATATATACAAGAATGTTGAACTGTGGACTCGGCCACTTTTACAAAGCAAGATAAAAGAACAGAAAGACTGATTTTTTTGCCCAGTGGCTAATGAGAACAATAAATTACGGGTTGTAGAGCAAACCCTGTTAATTTATTGTAGTTAAACGATGAGATGCCTATGAAAAGAAAAACATAAAGTATAAACACAGGATATAGAAAATCAATGTAGCTTTGCTAAAAGGTCAGTCTAATCTGGAATGGCATGGAAAAAAAGATTAAGAAAAAGTAGCACTGTTATGGGAATGCAATAGATTTAACTACATAAAACATATGATAACATAATCTTGAAAGGACTAAATGGATCATTTGTTTGCAGGAAATTGCCTGGAAATAAAACTGAACAAAATTGGATAACAAAGCTAAAAAGATATATGTAACTAAGTTATCTTTCAGTTTTTCTTCAAATTTTAGCATTTATGGACCTCGAAAGCATGAAAAAAAGAAGAAAAACAAGAAAGCTTCATGTGTGGCTGCAGTCTGTGAGAAGTGGACTGGAAGGTTCTCACAGGAGGCAAGAGACACTTCACTGTTATTGTTCATCCTTTTAGCAAAAGCAACCAAATTAAAACAAACAAATAAAATAAAAATGGTTGGAAAGAAATTAAATTTAAAACAGAACTTTTTATGACACAATTTCAATGGAAAACTGAAAAAAAAGAATTAATATAAAAAAAAACAGAACGCTAATTTCACATTGAGTGAAGATAGAAATTAGGTATTTAACTACAAGAAAAAAAATAAAGAAAATCGAAACAAAAAAACAAAGCATGCACTCAGCTTGTTTTATGTTACAGTTCCTTGATCTAAAGTCCTGCATACATATATATATATATGTATATATATTTACAATATATGTTAAAGGGACTCAAAATGCTGATGCCAATTGATATTGCACACTATTTATCTTTGCTAACAGTTTAATCAAAATAGATCAAATGACACTAAAGTAATGTGCTGTACTGTAAATGCATGTTTCAAAAGTGTTTCAAAATAACACTTAGCAACGAATGAACAACTGATGTAGAACTTTTAATTTGTAATTTATGTTTACAGCAAAAAGCGACATGAATTTATAGACATTTTAAAAATGCTGATATTACTTCAGTAAGTGGATTTATATTCATATTTACAGTCCCTTTAACCGTAAGTTGACAATAAACACGTATTAAAAAAAGCTTACATCTATAAAATGAATACATTATTATAAAAAAAACTAAATTTAACTGTTCAAATCATTTTAATTTTAAAGTTTTACTGAACATTTATTTTTAAGGTTTATTATTTACAAAATAATGCTACAACTTGGTTATGATCAAATTATTTTATTTAAAATTTTAATCAGGTTTTTTACCTTTGTCGAGTAGCCATTCGTCAACTACTCGACCAAGTCGGTATGGGATTCGCTGTCTAGCAATCGCCAGGCGTTCGTTATCATTGTTGCCTTTAAAGTTTAAAGAGACATTTCATTGGTTACAATCTGTAAGGTCAAAGGTTAAATATCCATACTTAATGCTAGAGCTATACAACTGCACAAGGTTTTTATATTTAAAAACGTTTTGTATGTTTAAAAAAACAGTATTAACTAAAACATTATTTGACCAAACTTCACTCTTTTTATTTTAATTTTAACCAACAAATTAGGCCTATATTAATTGAAAATAAGAGGACTAGCATATAAATGTTTCATCTAAGTTAATAAACCTATGTTAAAAACCAACCAAAATCACAAATTTATACATCCATTACAATATCTTTACCCAATATTTCCATCCCCATTTATCATTTCCCTCTGTTTTTATCTGACTTTTAAACTGGTTACATTTATACAGCTTCAAAAAGGAACATCATTTGAATTTATTATTAAATAAACCGTTTATGGTTTAAAGGAGAGAACCATTTAACTTTCACATATTACAAATGCCCACCCCATTTATAAAAACACTAATTGACAAGTAATAATAAACTATTTGCCATATAAAACCTAACAGTAAATTCTCTAACGCTTCTAATCAGAGAGAAATCAGAAGACAAAGTAGATACATACACTGTAAACCTTCAAGAACATGGCTTTGACAAAAGCTACAAGTCATAAAGAAGAAAAAGTCACAAGCTTGAGCGAGTGTAGCGTCGCATACATGTGTTTCAATGACAGTCAAGTGTTTTTAGAGCATAAAGTCAAATAAGTGACATAAATGAGAAAGAAGAGCTACAAAAAAACGACCCTCTGTATTGGAGGGTCACTTTGGCATTAATGAGGGCAAACTCTGCATCACCCTTTTGTCAACGCCAATAACCTCTCCAGAACAGAAGACTTTCAGCAAAGTGGCACTGTCTCTGAGTGCTTTTCCCCTGGTATTGTCTGCTGAGATTGAATTCAGTCGGCCCCATTCTTCTGGCAGATTGACAATGTTTGTTCCATCAACTATATTAATTCAGTTCTGGCAGATAAAAGATCCGGTAGCTAACAATGATTCGGTGGAGAATAGCTTCTTAGAGGAGAGGTCTGCTAAGAAAAGGAGGTAACCTTGTAAAAGACACACACCTCTTCTAATAAAAGATCTTATAAGTAAGAGCATACATAAAAATATATTTTTTAATCACATCAGCTTGAATTACTGTTGAAGACCAGCTAAACAAGAAAAAAACCCAGTTTGAATCTTATCTATACCCCTAATGAAATTTGGTTGCGGATGACCGTGCCTGGGTGGAGCACATAGCATTGTGAAGAAGATTTAGCAACACTTTTCCTTTATGCTGATTGGACAGATACAGTCCAGATTACAGCAAACCCACACAGGAAGGTAATGGGTAACATTTGATAGGACTGGTTTAGGAAGGAAGATGAAGTTTGTAATGGACAAACTCTCTTGTAGAGCACATACATCAAGTTTCTGCACTTTTTCTACATTTTTCTTAAAAAGTATTTTAAACTTGTAAACTTGCAAATGCATGTCAACTTCAATTTGTCATTTCTTGTGAAACTTAACTGTGACTACTCAACTTGTTTCACTAAAAAAAGAGGACTTAATGAGCTCCTCGAGAAGTCGTGTAGTGCAGTTTTTAGCATACGTCACTCAAGCAGGAGTAAATAGCGCATTTGTTGAGTCAAGCATGCACAAACGCAGACACAGCTGTGCTTCCTATCATTTTGAATGTGATAAATTAATGAATAATTCTTCATTGCTGTTGCAATGGAACATTTGAGGGCTTTGTCAATTCCTGTCATCTCCATTTCTTAGTCATGGGGTGTTGGTTATGTCACCTCACCATTCCCTGCTACTCTGACACCTCATCTGAGGAGAGGTCAGCATCAAACGGGGCCCTGGAGAACATTTATCCTACAGCTGTTGCGAGGACAGCGAGGACATCTGAGTTTAGAGTGAAAAAGAGAAACACCTATTAATACCTTCCTTTTTTAAATGATGTTCATTGATTAATGCTCATTTCTAACTATGCTATATAAGTTACTTGATGGTTGCAGTATGACGTGTTTTTGATGTATTCTAAGCTTTATTCAAAAAATAGTTTTAGTATAGGCTTACATGTTGGTGTCAGAGTTTTAGCGCAAATGACAGTTTGTTGAAGAAGTATGCAAGGAAACTAATAGAAAGGCACAGAGGAGTGTCAGCTCCAGGCGCATAGATACCCAAGAAGCACGCACACATATTCATGCACACTTATCCTCACACACAGCGTGCCACTGTGCCAAAATCCTCTACTTTTGTGCAAAAACATGCTCCATTTTCAAAGACGGCTGCGCTTTATCTGTTTGGCTACGTACCCCATGGCACACTGAGTCTATCCTTATACTGAGGTTAATTAAGTGTGCATATAATCAAGGTCTGATCGTGTATTGATTCCCACTGTGGGACACCGAAGTGTTAAACAATGCTATCCCCTGGGCTTTGATGCAGCAACAGAGCCCATTCATCCTGCCTGTGAGCGGCGCCTGTGACTGCTGCTGAGTGGTGATTTGGTTTGGTGTGGGACAGCCTGGCTTATCTCCTCTGCCAGACAGCAGCGATTCAGCTGAGCCATCCCAACCGACCTGCTTTACCCTCGCTCGCTTGTATTCTTTTTTTTTTTGTTAATAAAGTGGTCAGATAAGGTGGGAGCTTTATCTCATTACAAGCCCTAGGACACTCACCACATTAAATGAACAAATATGCAAATGCTTCCTCTGTTCATGGAGCCGGGAGAATTAAAAAAGAACAAAAAAAAGGAGGAACCTACACAAATCGCACTATTATTTTTATTATTCTGCCCTCCCTTTTCTCTAACTGCGCTATTTTTTAAATATCCTCGGTGTTGAGAGCTTGCACAATAGGCTCAATAAGCTCACGGATAGAACAAAGGTAAAAACAGAGCAGATAGGACGGAGCTTTGATGGATAAAGCTAACCATCCTTCCCTTGTATCCCATAAATCAGACTCCACACCACAAGCGGGAAAAAGAGGACAGGGGGTGAGATCGACACGGAGGCAGACGTGGACAGATAGAGGTAAAAAGGACAGGAAAAGAGCGAACTCGGAGCTCGGGAGAGTGGAGTGAGAGACGGTGAGCTCTGTAAGTGCACCACGCTCTGATAACAGTAAAAGAATAAGGCCAGGGACTTCTCCATTATCTTTGTGTGCAGCGTGTGTTCATTGGGTGCTCCGATAGGACACTGCACTGTACCCTGCAGGCCTGGCAGCACCATTGTGATGGTATTACTTCCATGGCCAAGGCTCAGGAGAAGGGGTTGATTTTTTTTCCTTTTTTTTGTTGCTGCTGAGCCTTTTGTGTGTGATGCAGAATGAAGGCAGGGACAGGATAAAAGAAGGAGAGCTAAACTACAGCAAATAGTCGCCTAGTTGTGTGTCTGCGTATGTATTTTGCATTTTAGATTCTAATAATTGTACTAAAGACTTTTAATGACCCATAAGTATGCAGTACGAGACTTTTTAATGAGATTACCAGGGCAGCAATAGAGGCTCTGGCAAAGCAATTATTTCCTTGCTTTAAGAACGATCGCTCCCTCCCCTATAAACTCCTCCTCTCTATCTTTCTCACTCTCTAGCCATCATTTTTATCTTTGCTGTCTACTCTTATTATAATCATTGTTGATCTGTGAGTGGCCTAAGAGTGGCTGAGGGCTGCTATTATGAGTGCGTTAGAGGCATACATGGATACTAATCAAACTACAGGCGAGCTGAGAGAATAATAGCTTTGTGTGCTGGGGGTGCAGGGAGGAACTGCGCAGTAATTGTGATTAGATGTAATTAGTCTGCAACGAGCTTAATAAGGTAGCTGGACTTGGCATTGTCACTGACGCATGATTGGTGGGGATGAGATAGGTCACTTTTCCCTGCAGCAGTTATAACTCATCACTTAGCATAACAGGACAGTCTTGTATCATTCTTATGCTTTTCTGCATTTTCTGCAGTACTGCACGACTTTCTACTACCAAATATGTGTTGTAATGTAATGTACATTGTTGAAAAATGCATAGCAGCAAACCTTTGTCTGTATAATATCAGCACTGATGTATACTACAACAACAACAACAACAAGTTGTTTTCGCCAACTTCTTTGAATTTATGTGCATGACATGAGTACGAGTATGTATCATCAGGCTTTCGCTGGTCTGCGGGTGTTTGTCGTTTGAAGACTGAGACGGGATGCGGGAATTTAACCCTGCTGTATATTCGGCCCTATCCACAACATGTCAAAAGCCATTAGTTTCTCTTTTCCACCTGAGGCAAGCAGGGAGGGTTGAGTCCAAGTCATAAAAACCATCTTTCATTTGGATGAATGCACTGGTCATAGCTAAAAAGGTCACCAAACATTATGCAAAAGAGGAGCGACAGGTTCAATTTGTCTTCTGTTTGTCTGGTTGCCCACTCATTTTATGCGTGCTCAAAATCTAACAAATGTTTTGCATTTAGTGCTGCAGTTTTTTCTCTCATGGGAAAAAAAACAAATAAGAAAACAACAACAACAACAAAAAAACCCCCACTACACGTGTCCATACAGTAATTTTGCTGTTTGCATTCTCAACAGTCATTTACGCACTCCTTTATTCATCTATAGCTTTTGTCAAAGCCTTTAACAAGTTAAAAATGTCATCAAGTTCAACAACACAGGCAGAAGCATCAATATCTGTATATTCTACTCTATATTCTGCATACATTCTACACAAATATACCAGTGTTGTTGAGTTGTTGCTGAGTTAGATTACTATAGATTTCCTCTCACAAATGTGTTGACACAGAGATTGCTTTGTTTTTTTTCCCCAATCGATCAAAAGATTCCCTCACAACATTGAGTCCACAGTATATTACATCATCAGTAACCAGTAAACTATAAAAGAAAGTGCCAGCAAAACTATTCCAGTCTTATAATGTTAAACTACTAAAATACATTACTCTTTTTCAGTTACTAAATGCCTATTACACAGGGCAGTAATTACCAAATTCATCCTCTACTGTCATGTAAACTGTGTTTATGAGAAGTGTTACACAATTTAAATTATTAGTAACACTATTGGCCAGGAAAATTAATCCGGCTTGCTTTTAGTCTGTGAGTAATTGTAGTGTATGCTGTGAAAATTATTAATATCAAAGTGTATTTTTATGGCTAAACAAGATGCTGTAATGAAGCTGATCATCTGGTATTTAATTGTGAGTAAGCAACAGATTTACTTTGACAGTGTTATTACAGGTCCGTCTCCCCGGTGACCTTAATTCAATCAATCTGCTATATTGGCAGACACATAAATACTGAAACCGCACACAATTACTTGCTACAAAAAACTGGTAATTTGTCTGTGGATTGTCTAATGATTTGGGTTACTGTGAGTATACACTGTGCATTGACAATTAGGTATATGGGGGATGTAATGCAGACATGTAGACAGGTTGGGTGGTTGCACTTGTAGGCAGACATATGAGTCTATCAGCCCTCAGGTTTATCAGATTGATGCACCACAAAGATCAAAGATTTCGTGAAAAGACAACTCAACAACACTGGTGTTTACTCTCAAAAGCTGCTGGAAACCGAAACATAAAAAGCAATTAAAGCACATGCCAAGTCAACATAAGAACATCCTAACAGATAAGGCTTTAATAGCTTGCTTGATAATATCTGGGTCATTTTATCGCCTCTAGGAGGCGGCAGATGTAATTAAAGGCAAAGTGGGTGACTCACCTGTGGGGTAGCGCTCAATGACTGGCAGGTCATCCACCTGCAGAGTGGCATTACCCCCACTCCTCGTAAACTTCACTATATGGTACTTTCCATCATTTACAAACTTTGACGTCTCCTCAATATTAATGTCATCTGTACCGACATTAAATACAACGGCAATGTTTCCTTTCTCCTGAAAAGAGAAGAACACAAAAAACACTTTCTTTTTTAGTAATCAGTAAACATTGTTGTGAACAGTATTGCTAAGGGACTGTAGCGAAATTAGAGCAGGTGGTTTCAGGAAAGGTAGAGAGCTGTGATTTTTATAAGACAATCAGGCCAGTGGCCTATAATTCTTTAAGCACTTTCACTTTTTATAATGAATTAACACTAACTACTTTATAAATGAGTAGTGCTATGAGAATCCAGTAAAAAGAAAAAATATTTTAAAAAAGTATCAGCTGAAATTTTTCATTGTACATCAGTATGGACTAAGAAAACACAATGAAACTATGAATGAAGTCGTTAGCATAGCTTTTCTCATAAAGGGGTAATCAGGTGTACTTTTCAAAACGTGCTTATTGGAACTTTTGTTAGCTCTGCATATACAATGTTTAATATGATTTAGTGTCTATTTATTAAACTACAAGACCTGCTGGGTTGACCATAAGACAGATTACTGTATGGCTGTTTGGATTATTGCACTGGCAGCCGTATCAACACAACATATGTGTTTTTCTCGGATGTGGTATCACTCCTGGAAGTTGCAGTCTTCGAAAAAAAAGAAACAAAAAATAAAACACAAATATGTGCATTGTGTCTTTTGTTGTGTCAAAAAAATCACTTCAGGCAATTATAGGGTTATTTGTTAAGTTTTCCCTTGAGCTGCATATGCTGTGTGCTGGCTGATGCCCTCTGCACGATGCTGACATCTGGTTTTTTAAAGTACAATAAACATGCAGTATGCTATTTATTTCATTCACCCATTCATCCATCGCACAAACACATTCAGTCCTGAATGATATGACTGATTGTGAGCCCTTTGTTAGACTGAATCAGTGCTTGAACACTGGCATCTTTACAGTGACTTAAAAAAACATAAGAGCAGAAAAATCAAGCAAAAGTCTCAAAGGAAGTTTTTTCCAGCTTAGCCGCAGACTCCTTCACATGATTGATTCACGTGATGCCTATCTATTCTAATAAGCTTTGTTACAGTTCATGATCGAAGTCCCTGAATCCTACTGCTTAATCCAGCTAAGATGAGAGCGTATGTTGGTGCAGCTTCTCTCTCTATGCTTAGGAGCTGCAGTGAAAGGAGCATCTGGTTGGAGGCTCAACCTACTGTAGCAGCACAGCACTCTGCATGTCATTATCCAGTCAGCATAGCCAATACTACACTGCATCCCTAACGTGCCCATATGCACAAACTGCTTTTTCAAGACCCCACCCCTCACACACACACACACACACACACACACACACACACACACACACTCTTACAGAGCCCAGATGCCTTAAAGTGCAGAATGAGTAGAGCGTGTCTCAAGAGCCAGGAGCTAAAGTGCAATTAAAACCATTTGTAATGTGTCACACCACGTTACCAAAACTAGGACAATTGTATGCTTTGTAATGTAATTTCAACAGATTATATAATCTAATGCATTAAAGCTACAGTAGCAAAACAGTTTACTGACTGCTTGCAGGCCTAAACACCAACCGAGAAAAAAAATGAAATCTAGATGGCAACAGCGACACCAGCTCGTCTCGGGGTTTTTTTTTAGATCTCAATGGGTGTGGGGATGATCTTTATACACTTGTTAGTACTCAAATCTTGTGGTAGTTGTAATCTGTCCTGCATTGCATCCTCTTGAAAGAATTCAGAAAGAGTCATAGAGACTGCAGGCCCTCAGCAGAGCTAAATGTAACTAGAGAGACAGGACATACAAGACCTCTCGCTAATGTGGATATTACTTTATTTTAAGCATATAGTGTGAAATCTAACATGAAACTAGAGTTTTTCATTTCAAAGGGGCGAGCATGCACTCAACAGACTAATTCTGGAGTTTTTTTTAGTGTCATTGCTCTTAGAAAAAGAGAGACAGAAAAAATGTTTTAATGGACCGACCAACCCAATTAAAATCCTTCTTTTAATAGCCTCCTTCAATTGACTTCTAATGCTCCCCATGGTCTTGTTAATAAATTTACTGCATTTAGTCACAAACTGCCAACTCAAATTTCCCATAGCATAAAAAAAAAGCCTTGAAAGAGATGAAGGGATAGATGAAAGCGAGTGGAAGACAAAGGACAGAAACCACACCATGAGATTTTGGAAGTCAAATGTCAGATAAAAGATAAGAGCTTGAGTATTCAAGCTGAGTAAATGGAGAGCCATTTTGACATGGTGTCTCCCATATTAAAGTAATTAACTTTGACTGTTATTGCCTCCGCCTTCTGAGGATTTGCTTTATTATTTTTTTCCCCCAAATAATAATAATGCATTACATTTCAGCATTTCTTAAAATTCGATCAACTCAGACAAGCAGTTTCTCAGTTTAGTTCAGCAATGAGAGGAGCCTAATCCTGGTGCTCTAATAGGGTGCAGGCTTATGTCAGATAGTGATTGATAGCTGCTTACATAAACTCAACCCATTACACCCTGCAAAATTTTGGGGCTTCTCACTTGGTAAGTGCTGCTCCCCACAGGGCTGCTCCCCTTGGGAACATACTGTACGGTGCACACATCTCACATCCGAAGAACTCAGCCCTGCCTGACACTCGGCACGCCGCCTTGATTAATTGCTCATCAAGCTGCAATAGAGTTTAATTAACTGATGAAGTTGATCCACCATTCTCCTATAATCTGCTCTTTTTTATGCTTCTCATCCTTTCAGCTGGAGGGTGGTGGAATAGCTTCAGAAATACTCAGGGTGTCAGTTTCTTGTTAAAACTCCCCATCTGCCCTCATTTTACCACCACCGAGATTCTTGCAGTGCTAACCATAAAGCTGCAAAACACTCTGCAGACCGACTCGTCTTTATCGTTATTTTTTCTCAAATTTTCAGTAGCACGGAGAAGCATAATTCTTCTTCTTAAGTATGTCAACAAAACCACATTTGAACAGATATATGAGAAAGCCAATAAAACTACCTTAATGGCGGCTTAGATAAAACTTACTTAGCGGTCTTGGTAACAGTGTTCTCATAAATAATACATTGATAAATAAATAAACCATATTTTCCCATTAATATTCCCAGTGAAAGAATATAGTGTGTTGCTCATAATCTGCCTGAGGATCAAGCAGATCAGGCAGAATGATCCGCTGACGTTTGAAATAGTTTACTGAAGTGAGTTTATTTCCCCGACCCACGTAAACAGAGTTAGAAGTGATATTTGAGATGGTGTTGGGCCTCCTCTCCCATCTCGGCAAAAATGAACACCGCGGTGTAAGCCACCCTAATGTTTAGCTTGTTTATGAGTCATTCACGATGACAAGCATTGTGCACCCGTCACATTTCATATCTCACAAGTCTGACGCCACGGCACTGCAACACATCTCCCTTCAGTGCACATGTCTACGAGGGCTCCGCTGGCAGGTGGGAGAGCACCTCCGTCATTCCCTCGCTGTGTCAGATGTGTGTACACATGCTGAGGGGCTATTACGCTCTTAATGTAGAAGCTAAATGTCTTAATGCAGCTAAGGCAGGCAGCCTGTACTGTTCACCTTATCTTTTAATTACCTCTGAGTCTTGGCTTCTCCCTTTTTCTTTTTTTTTTCTTCTCAAAGCTTGGTTAATGAAATTACACAAGTAATGGAATAATTAGGAGATAGAAAATGGATTTTTTTTCCTTGAAGCATGTGGTCCATATACTTTAGATTATGCAATAATTCAATGATATACCTGCATTTATGAATCCAACATATACAGGCACACAAACAAGCGTATATTGAATGACATACATTATTTTTTTAGTGCTGTGACTTCACAAAAAAGAAAATGCTGTAAATACACACATACAAAAAGGAGATTTTATCCTGGTAGAAGCACCGTATGATACATTAACTTCCTAATATCTCAAACAATTTAATGACGTTATGGACTGTAGCAAAGCAATTGTCTCCAGTCGGGCCTGCATATTCAATTTTATTTTATGCTTTGATCTTGTGAAAACCTCTTTGACTCTCTCTTACAGAACCACACACACACACACACACCCCTTATATCTATCTTTATCTATCTTTAGAGTATTTATTTCTATTTGCACAAATAGCCTGATGTGCAGCTGCTAATATAGTGATAAAAACATGATTGACACTACTAATCACACATTAATATCCCCAAATGGAAACAATTTAAACAATTATAAGTCTATTAATCAGACATTATTATCTAGTAATCATATTTTATACAATAATAAAATCAATAAATAAAAAAAAACTTGACACTTATTGATAATGCATGATGCATACTGTGTGATTTTCTGTATTTTCATTATGTTTATCGGCTGTGTGTGTGTGAAAGCTAAGACACTGGGCCTCACCGTTTACATTTACACTACTTCACCTTAAACCAAATGCAGGAACCTGATTTTCTGTTCTCCTTACATCTAAATACCACTGCACCACACTTAACAATAAATCACCAGTGTAGATGAAATTAAGAGGCACAGTGCATTAAAAATATTTAACTGCCTTGATAAGGAACTACAGCTTTGCATAATTTAAACAAAAAGGATATAGTATACCACTGTGCCTGCCATAATAAGGAAAAAAGTGTGTTAACCACCTGCATGGCCTCACAGGCATACCAATTTACAGTATATATTTATAACAGAGCTTTCTGTATAAAAAAAAAGGTGTAGGTAAGAATATACATCCTTCTTATTATCTCCATTAACTGTGGATGCACTTCCTAAAGGCTCGAAGATAACATTTGGAAGCCTATATCTAAGCTTAATGTAAGCCAGTGGAGTAAATGCTCTTAGATTGCTTCTAAAACTTGAAACAAAGTCGTTCTGCAAGGTTCTCCTCCCCCTTCATTTAACCACTGCCTTAAAGAATCACCAGTGTGGCGAGGTATAACTGCATTGGCTGGAAATTGTGTTTTTTTCAAAATCAAGTCCGCCAGCTGAAGTGCCTAATTATCTGTGAAGTTGGCTTGAAATTGTTTCCATTGCTAGGAGTCTCTATCAAGC